GGGTCTGCTATGGCTATGGGGTGCCCTCCCCCCACCAGGAAGCCAGATTGCACACAATTGTGCCAGGGATTGTGGGTCCAAAGGAGCAGAGCCCGTGGCTTGTATGGAACTCCGTGCCTTGGGTGGGGAAGGCTGCACCAGATGGGCCTCCGCCTGACGGACGGTGCGTGAAAGGGGGCGGGAGGGGGCGCCGGGAGGGCTTCCCCCACCTGTATCCGGCTTCAAGGCTGGGTGCCACGTGCACAGCCACTGTTTAACTTCCTCTTGCAACACCTGGATTGCCACAGCCGGCCTGCCTTGGTGGGGAGGGGGAACCCAGGGGTCACTCAGACTGACCCTTTTTTATGGCTCTTCTGGAGACTCCAACCCCTCCCCTCCCGCCACGTCCCAAGTCTACTTCTGGGGGGAACTGGGCCCCCCCCACCCCACCCAGGCTCAGGAATCCCTTTGGCCTGGAGGGGGGAAGGGGCGCCTCCGAAAATGGGACGGGAGAAATTGTGGGGAGGGGGGGGAGGCAGCCGATGGATTCCCTTCATTTAAACTCTGCTCAAAGCTAATAAATGAGTTGGGGGTTTCCTCCCCCCCCCGGCTGCATTCACCACCCCCCAAAAAAACCTTGAGTGAATCCTCTCCTCCCCCCATTGGGGTTGACGCCCCCACCAGGCACCGAAACCCCTCGCCCAGATTGGCCCCCACACAACCCCTGGCCTCCCCCTGATTCAAACGCTTGTGGGGTCTCCTTAGAGGGCCTGGGGGGAGGGAAACGGTGCCCCCCAACCCCCAAGGGAGGGAAGGGAGGGGTGAGGGAGGGCGGGGGACAAGGGGGCTCTTGAAGATACAACCCCCCTCCCCAGCTGTGAGTGTCAACATAAAGACAGACAAAGAACTGGGGGGGAGGTATTCACACGGACGCCCCCCCCCCTCTTCCCCATACCAGATCAACGGCATTTGGGTGGTGCCAATCGCTGCCCCAATTATTCCTCCGGAGACCCCCAGTCTTGGGGAACTCAGGGACCCAGCCCCCACCCCGATGCCCCCTCTCCCTCCAAAGAGACCCCAACTCACCAGTGGCTCTTGGGAGGACCCTGTGTACAGCCAGCCCTGGACTGCCTCGGCCGAGTTCGTCGGACAGTCCTTGGCCTGCCCGGGTGGCTGCTCCTCCCTCGGGGGGGCGGCCGTAGCATTGCCCCCTCCCAGAGAGAGAGAGAGCTGCATTGAGGGCAGAGGGGGGGTGTCAAACTCTGCCTTTTGCTTCCAGGGAGGGCCCCCCTCTTGATCAAGTCCCTCTTAAACTGCCAAAGCGGTGAAATTGGGGTGGATGGGCATTGTGTGGCACGCACAGCGACCACCAAAGGGAAGGGCGGAACAGCACTCACCCCCCCCCCATACGCACCCCCTCTTTGTCTTCCTGGCACCTTCCAGGTGTGTTAGGGTCCCTGGAAATTCTGGGCCTGGAGGTCCCGAGGCTTCTGCTGGTTTGGGGGTGCCAAAGGGGCCGGGCCAGCCAACCCTGATTGGGGGAAGGGGATGATGATGGGAGACACACACACCCCCCCCGGCTGATTTAGAGACTTTTCTGCTTGTCTGGGCTGGTTCGCTGCCAGCTGAGCCCAGAGGAATTCTGGGAGTTGAAGTCCAGACATCTGGCCTGGTCGATTCGGGCCTCGCTGGTGGGTTCAGCCTTTCAGCCCCCCACTTTCCCCTTCCCCTCTTTCCCACAATAAAAGGCACCCAGTTTCGGGGCAACTGATCCTCCAGAGCCCAGCGCAGTCTGTCTCTAGCAAGGCTGGGGGCATTATATGGCTGCTGTGGAGAAGGGGTAGTAGTAGTCCCACAGGTAGAGCACGCAGGGTACCTCCGGGATCCTGTTGGGGTGCAAAGCTGATTCAGCCGAGGAAGCTGGCAGCCGTGGGTGATTTGGCCGCGGGGTGGCATCCCCAACTGGGCACCCTGCCCAGTGCCGCTCCAGGCCTTGCCACTCTCTCCCTCCCTCTGCCTGGGATATTTGGGGGGGGGGGGCAGCACAGAATCCTGCCCGCCCCCCATCCCAGCTTGCGGGGGCTGCTGCTTCTGTTTGCCTTGGCAGCGAGGTGGGCATGTGATGGGCGTGTCGGAGGCTGCTTTCTGGCCGGAGACAGGAGTGACCTTCCAGGCAGGGGTGGGGGAGACGCACACGTGTGTGTGTGGGGCAACAATCGGTTGTGAGCATCGAGGAAATCTCCGCTTAAGTGTGAAGTGCCAGCTTTATAGGCTCCTGCTGGTGTCCAAAGACTTGGAAACTTTAAGATGGGCAGACTTCAACTCCCAGCTGGCATCAGTGGACTCCCACAATTCCCCAGCTGGTATTGGTGGACTTCAACTCCCAGAATGCCCCAGCTGGCATGAATGGACTTCAACTCCCACAATTCCCCAGCTGGCATCAATGGACTTCAACTCCCAGAATTCCCCAGCTGGCATCAATGGACTTCAACTCCCAGAATTCCCCAGCTGGCA